CCCCGCGACCATAGCCCGCCTGGCCGCGCTGGCCCGCGGAGGGACCCTGCGGGCTGCTCTGCCACTCGCCCAGGGCTCGGCGCCCACAGCAACGACTGAACTTTGCGAGACCTTTCACTTCCCGGCCGCCGCCGCCGCCGCCGCCTCCTGGGCGTCCTCCTCAGCTTTTACCACCTCCTCTTGCGGCTGCGTCTCGGTCCCGTCCGTCTCCACGGGCAGTTCCATGGGATGCATTTTTATTGCACCGACACCGCGGCGCTCCGATGCCAGCCCTCCTCCCTCTCGCACCTCCACCCCTTCCTCCCTCCCGCCCCCCGCGCTTGACAGCCCGGGCGGTGGAGCCCGCGCGGCCCAGTCGCTCTGTCGCTGCCGCCGCCTGGAGAGGGGTCCCGGTGCCCCCACCGGGCGCCCCTGCTGCTCCCTGCCCTCTGGTCTCGCCCTTCTCAGCCCCGGCGTCCGCCGGTCACCTTGGCCCCCAGTTTCCCTCGCGCCCCTCCCGGCTCTTGTTCTGTATCTCCCTGCGTGACCCCCCCTGGTGCCCTCCAGCACCCACAGGCCTCCTCTGGGAAGGGATCTCCCACCTTCTCCCGGAACATTCCTGAGTGCAGTTGACTCCCTCTTGATCAGGTCAGGGCATGCCAAGGGGCTTAAAAAACGACAAAACAGGCTAGCGCCTACTTCCTACACCCCTCAGCAAAGCAAACCCTCCTTCTTCCTCCCGCCACCCCTTCTCCGAGAGTCCTACCACCCAGGGATAGAACCGCCAACCTAGCACGAAGTCACGGGGCACTGAGAGCGCACTAACTGCTAAGGGGCGTTCTGTGATTCGCCGCCGCCTTTTTGGAGGGCGTCTTGGCTGAACAATCACTGCCTGCTCTATTGTAGGATGTACCTAATTTGGTGTAAAAGGTGGTCCCTAATTCAAACTCAAGGTGCTAAAAAAAAGGGATGGGGCGGGGGTGGGGTGGGTCACAGGATTAGCTAGTGGGCAGTTGAGGAACATCTCTGTGTAGAGGCAGGGAGAGACCTGACAAAGAGAACCAACTTGGCCCTTCCCAGTACTCTCACTCAACAGAGTATGTTGTGCTGTGAAACAATAATGTTAGAAAATAAGTTACACGTAACAATTTAGTAGCAACCACAAGCAGCTAATTGAGGATAGGGATTGCTAATGGCTGGTGCTTATGGAACGAGAATAAACAGCAGTTGAGTCTGGGACTTTTGCAGGTTAAGTGAAAATAAAACTCTGTGTACACATCAGGGACATTGGCAAAAGTTGAGTAGAAAGCATTTTTTTTTTAATTGCAGAGTTCATTTTGTGCCTCTGAATATTTTCCACAAACCCAGTTACAGATCCCAATACCAGTTTCGAGTGCTACAGATGTAAAGCACATTTATTAACTTCTGAGTCTACTGTATTTAGGCATGACTACTCCATTTCTCACTATGAATTATAAAAAGCTTTTAATAAGGGCACCAAGCCTGCATTAGTTACATACTTCCTTGATTGCCTCTTACTGGTTCTTGTTGCTTCTAAAAAGACAGTGAGTTCTTAAATGGTAGGGCAGTCTTTTACATTTAGTCTACACAAAACATTATTACATTTTTGTTATATCCTCCACATTATTCTTAATTGGGGAGCCCCTGCTAGGGGTTCAATGGATGTCCATTAAATGTTTTTTGACTGACTTGGGTTAAAATTATTGTTATATACTGACAATAGGAACTAAGGAGAAAACCAGTGAAATCAGAATGATTCTCCGTAGTCTAACGGGATCTGCACATTCTACACCAATACTTTATCTAAGAAGCAGCTCAGGGGAGAAAAGCAGTCAACATGCCAATCAATTTCACTTGGTTGTAAAGACATAGTCTAATTGGGCATAAATCATATTTTCATACAGAAGAAGCTATCCAGGAAAAGTTTACCTATATAAGGAAAATCTTGCTCAGTAGTAAGTATATTATTATCTATGGTTTCATGTTTTTGAAAATTTCAGCAATGGATTCAGAATTTTTTTTTTAGTTTTGTGAACTAGTAGGAAGCTTAGCAAACTTACTGAATTTCAATAATAAGTTTTCAGAAACCACATAATTGAGAAATTCAATCTGGAGTACTGATGAGAAGCTGAAAAAAAAGAAGTTTTAAGGGACCATTTGGTGCAGGGACAAAGTTCCGAAAGGCTGTAAAGGTGTCAGTCTATGATAATTTCATAGAATTAATGAGGTTCCTAATGGATCATAGGATATTGAGAATCAGATGGGACCTTAGGGATCCTTGAGGCCATCTTCTCTCCTGGTCAGGTATCCACAAAATCTGTCCAGTGTTCATCCAGTCTCTGTTCTAAAAATCTCAATAATCAAAAGCCTCAAAAAAAGGCCCTTTGTGGTATTGTCTTATTTAACTGTGACATCTCTCTTCTGGAAATTCTATTTATGTTTATAGTTTAGTCTTTTGCAACTACTATTAAGTCCAATTTCTTTTCTATCTGATAGGTATTCAAAGATTTGAAGTCAATTTTCATTGCTCTTTTAAACTAATCTCTAAGTGTTTATTTAATTACCCATGGAACGTGATTTCCAAACCTTTCAACGTTGTAATCATCCCTTTTCTGATATACTTCAGTTTGTCGAGATTGCTCTCATAATATGCACCTAGAGCTCAAACTCCGGTGCTGTCTGATCTGTATAGAATAAAATGGGACTAACAGTTCCCTTAACCTCAGTCTAGGATTTACATGGAGGTCCTGCATTGTGCTCAGCTGCTAATCAAAAGATTGAAGGTTTGAGTCCACCCAGAGGCACCTTGGAAGAAAGGCCTGGTGATCTGCTTCTGAAAGGTCACAGCCTTGAAAAGCCTATGTAGCACAGTTTTACTCTGACACATATGAGGTCACCATGAGTCGCAGTTGACTCACGGCCACTGGTTTTAGGATTTATATTGCTGTAGCCTAAAAGTGAAGGAGCTCTACTGCCACAATGGTTAAGTGCGTGGCTGCTGACTGAAAGGCTGTCGGTTTGAACCCACCTAGAGGCCCCTTGGGAGAAAGACCCGGCAATCTGCTCTGGTAAAGATGACAGCCTAGAAAACCCTATGGGAGCAGTTCTACTCTGTCACATGAGGTCACTATGAGTCAAAATCAACTTCTAACAACAACAACCTAAAAATACATTAGTTGCTTTGTGACATTGGCTGATATTATACTTGTAGTTAACTAAAATCCCCTCCCCTTTTTTTCCCTATGTCTTCAAGAGTCATTAATATAAGACAAAATATATTTTGTTTAATCACAAGGAAAGATTTTCATTAACATACATTGCATGTAATAACTATTCAATAAATATTTGTTTAAAGACTAAATCAAATTAAAATTGCTATATCTGAAAAACTTTTATTTCTTCATGAAATAAGCACCTATTTTCTAAATTAAAAAAAGAAAACTTCTATGGAAAATTTGACTCTCCAACAATACTTTATGTAAGTGGTATTACTTACTGTACCTTTCCAAGGAAAGGAAGAACTTTGAAAATAGTGATATTTTTAGTATACCTAGTATCCTTCCTCCATGGAGCTATAAACATTATTTCG